CACCCCCCCCCCCCCCCCCCCAAATCCTTGAGATTGGAATAGCTCAAATAAATTATTTCAAATCCCCAACCACGCCTTACATCCGAAATGGAATTGCTTCCGCAAATTTTCCAACTAGTAGGAGAGCGTTGGGATATTTTTTTTTTTTTTTTTTTTTTCAATAGTGGTGGTGGTGGTCGCGACTATGGCGCAGCTAGGGTTAATATCGCCATTATCGGGGCAAGACATTTGCCGCCTTCCCACGAAAAAGACCTCTGAAGTTGTCAGAAAACGCAACCAACTTTCATAAAGACTAGGGTGACCAAATCATGAACTGGAAGAAACGGGACACACCCAAGGAGGGAGGGAGGATACTCTCCACCTAAAGAGGGGTATGCGGGCCTCCGCCGGATAATGTTTATTGAAAATGTTCATTGAAACTATTTTGAGACCTAGAGATCTTTTTAATTTACCTTCACTTTTGTAATTTAATTTCAACTCTGGGGCAAATCATAAACGAAAACAATAATTTTGCGGTAACAATTATTTACTTATCAAGCATATTTTACAACAAAATACAACACACCAAATTAAATTTCTCTAGTCTAGGATTTAAATTGAGGATATTTGGCTGTTGTCCCAGCCATGTGTAAATGTGTTTGGTTTTAGAAACGGGACATTTAGGCGTCCCGAGAGACTTTTTCGGGACACCGGGTACGATCGTGAAAAAATGGGACAATCCCGTTTTTACGGGACGTTTGGTCACCCTAATATACACGCCAAAAAAAAAGCTACCACCCGGGGCGGCCCTTCACATCCCTTCCTAAGCGATATTCTGACGCCACAGAGGCGATGTCAGGGGGTATGGAAAGAGCCAGAAAAATCAGGTTTATTTGCATTTTTATTGACATTTGAAATCTTAAGGGTTGCGGGAAATATGTTTTGAAATCGAGATGGGGGTGAGGTAAATTTTTAAGAAATCAAGAGGGTGTGTGGCGATGCAAATAGGTTAAGAACCCCTGGCTTAGAGGAATAGGCCTAAGCTACACCGGCCGCTCCTCTTGGGCAAATACATTCACCATTAGAACTAACTGCATAACCTTCTGCAAAGTTTCGACTACACGACTGAGTGGGGCTCTCGTCATGTCACCATTCCTCAACAAGTACTGTTAACCGATAGCAACAGCAAGGCAATATAAATATGAGCACCACGTCTAAATATGGCTACATTAAAAATAAGCAGTGTGAGTGCTAAAACAGGACTCATTGACCTACTTAATGCTCACACGTTCGATTTCTTTGTGTCCACTGCCTGCCACTCTATTTTGATCTTCTCATGACAAATTAGATACACCACTATTTTGACTTTCTCATGACAAATAAGTTACACCACTATTTTGACTTTCTCATGACAAATTAGATACACCACTATTTTGACTTTCTCATGACAAATAAGTTACACCACTATTTTGACTTTCTCATGACAAATTAGATACACCACTATTTTGACTTTCTCAAGAAAAATTAGATACACCACTATTTTGATTTTCTCATGCCAAATTAGATACACCACCATTTTGACTTTCTCATGACAAATTAGATACACCACTATTTTGACTTTCTCGTGACAAATTAAATACACCACTATTTTGACTTTCTCGTGACAAATTAGATACACCACTATTTTGACCTTCTCATGACAAATTAGATACACCACTATTTTGACTTTCTCATGACAAATTAGATACACCACTATTTTGACTGTCTCATGACAAACTAGATACACCACTATTTTGACTT